TTTATAATTAGCGGGAGATTTTCCTTCACATGTCCGAAACAGTAAAAAATTCCTATGCAAAGCTAAGAATCATTTCCATTGAGCGCTTCCAGAACAGTCTTTGACTATTTGGACTTTACGGGAAATTTCTAACCAATAAAGAAATAGAAGAAAAAATGTTTACATTGGAAGTTCAAGCGTTTGTATCTTGGAAACTGTTGCAAATATGTAAAACCCGCAAAGAGCTTTTTGATAGGAAACCTTGAGAACTATTTTCTTCTTTTTAAGTTTTCAGCCAGTTCCTAACCTCAAAAGAGATAGACGCAGAACTTTATAATTAGCGGGAGATTTTCCTTCACATGTCCGAAACAGTAAAAAATTCCTATGCAAAGCTAAGAATCATTTCCATTGAGCGCTTCCAGAACAGTCTTTGACTATTTGGACTTTACGTGAAATTTCTAACCAATAAAGAAATAGAAGCAAAAATGTCTACATTGGAAGTTCAAGCGTTTGTATCTTGGAAACTGTTGCAAATATTTAAAAACAGGCAAAGAGCTTTTCGATAGGAAATCTTGAGGACTATTTTCCTCTTTTTAAGTTTTAAGCCAGTTCCTAACCTCAAAAGAGATAGACGCAGAAGTTTATAACTAGCGGGAGATTTTCCTTCATATCTCCGAAACAGTAAAAAATTCCTATGCAAAGTTAAGAAGCACTTCGATTGAGCGCTTCCAGAACAGTCTTTGACTATTTGGACTTTACGCAAAACTCCTAACCAATAAAGAAATAGAAGCAAAAATGTCTATATTGGACGTTCAAGCGTTTGTATCTCGGAAACTGTTGCAAATATGTAAAACCCGCACAGAGTTTTTCGATAGGCAACATTGAGAACTATTTTCCTCTTTTTAAGTTTTAAGCCAGTTCCTAACCTCAAAAGAGATAAGAGCAAAAATGTCTATATGGGAAGTTCAAGCGTTTGTATCTCGGAAACTGTTGGAAATATGTAAAAACCCGCAAAGAGCTTTTCGATAGAAAATCTTGATAACTATCTTTTTCTTTTGAAGTTTTATCGCCAATTCCTAACCTATAAAAAGGTAGAAATAAAAATGTTAACACTTAAAGGGCTCGGCAAGCTTAGGCGTGTGTACTCGGGAACTGTTGCAACTAAATGACGATTTTCGATGGAGAACTGTATTTTACTTAATTAGTTTTAAAGCAAAACCTAACCTCTAAAAGGATACACGCCAAAGTAGCTAAGCGAATTGTAATTGTGTGTTGCTCATTAGGTTTTAATCGTTGATAAATTGTTGCAGAAAAATGTTTATCGCTGGAAAGGCCTTCAGGAGGCGGAAAAGGGAAGAAAATGAGGAAACCGCGCACAATCTATTCAAGTCTTCAACTACAGCAACTAAATCGGCGATTTCAACGCACACAATATCTGGCCCTGCCCGAACGGGCCGAATTGGCTGCCAGCTTAGGATTAACACAAACTCAGGTAAGTTTCGCCAAAAGATTTTACGTGCATTAGGCACAATTGTCTGAAACAAAGGCCAAAAACCATCAATTGTTGCGATTTTCGTTCGGATTGTCTCGTGTAGAACTCAATTTCTTTACGTTACCGCTAGTCAACGCGTATACTGGAAGCAGGATTCCTTCTCAAGGGATCCGGCACCGACAGAGAACAAAAGATAACCAATATTCAGACTATTCGCGATCATCTGCTTACGGTTCTCAGGAATTTCCATCGAAATTGTTCGGGGAGAAACATTTCCTGCAAAAAAGAAAAGGACCAAAGGCCGAAATTCGAGGAATTTTTATTGCGGAAACCGAACAACGGCCTCAAACTTATTAAACAAAGTAGATGGTTCTTTTGGCTCTTGGGGGCGCTCATTAATCGTCATCGGTTAGTCCAGAATTTACCATAAACTTCTAGCCGTTCTGCTGGTGGTTTAGTGTTTTATCGCGCAAATTTAGTTGAATTTTTTGCGACAGCAACACAGGGTTTATTTTATATCCATTTATGCGCTACAAATAAATCCGATTCGTTGAACCAAGTAACAGAATGCCAGCCGATAGCTCGTTAGTAGATTAGGTCAAATGTCAAAGGTTTTCAGTTCCCTATAATTAGTACAGCGCGTTGCCACGATCGTCGCCCCTGTCAGCCCTTCCCATAGTCAGCAGAGGGTGGAGATACCCCTGTGCCATAATAAATTTCACTGTCCGAATCGTTAGCTTAATTTCTGATCTAATTTGTAACCTTAACGGGCCTCTTGGGCTCGAATATACAGGGTTGCTCATTAG